CACTGACAACCCAGGGTGCAGACCAGGAAGCAGAGTCGTATTTTAACACACCTCTCTGCAGTTTCTCTGCTGTTACCCGCCCATTACTCCATCCAGACAGTGTCTTACCCACAACAAATTAGAAGACATTCCCAAAGGAGTAAATCATAATAATCTACTTAAAATACAAATAACTTTAATTAAGGAAAAAGTTAAAACAATTAAATCTGGTTTAGTTAACATAAGATCTCTTTCTTTAAAAGTCTGCTAGTTAATGACTTGATTTGTGATAATCACATTGATTTATGTTGCCTTACAAAAGCTTGGCTGCAGTAAGAGGATTATGTAAGCATAAATGAGGCAACTCCTTCTAGTTATTTAAATTTTCACATAGCCTGCCTTCGAGTCAATGAGTCGATGCAATCAACTGGTTTTCCTGAGTTTTCAGTTTGACTGTTAGACCTGGTTGAACTGTAAAGTGCCTTGAGATGACATATGTTGTGAATTGGCGCTATATAAATAAACTGAATTTAATTGACCTTTGTAAGTATTTTACTTATGGATTTCAAGCCTGCAGCATTATATTCTTTTTTCATATCAAAATTAATTATTATTCAAAACATTATCCTTTTTTCAAGTAACCCATCCTATGTAGCTTGACTGCAGCTACTCTTAATCCTGATTCTATAATTTCCACACCTCAATGCAGACAATTATCTTAAAAGCCTATATGTTTAATGAGTAACTTAACTTTTGCTTCATGTAAGGAACCAGAGAAGTTTTACCCTTGCTGGTTAATTGCAAAACTGAGTAATTGAGTTGAATAATTTTCCCACTAATCACATTCATGCGTACAACAACAGTACAGTAATAACTCTGTAAAGGAAATGAAGCTTGGTTCAAGTTAAATCAGTGAAAACAATCTTATGCATGAACAACCTTTAGACTATCTCACGTAAGACTGATGAACATTTCCTCTCCTGTTAAACTCACCCAATTTTAATAAAGGATTCCTTTTCTGTGCAACCAGCTTCCATTCCACTATCAGATCCATTAAAACCTTCAGATCAACCAAAGTCTTTGGAGGCTTTTACTAAAATGATTAATGCCTTTTTATATGACAGTACAATATGTTTAGTTTATCTAGCCCATCAATTATTTAAACTAATATATGCTGTTCAGTCTTTGGAGTTATGTTCACTATTTTCTCTTATTTATCCATTTTTAGGCCATTTCACAGTAACTCATATGTCTCACATGTAGTGAATCCTTTAGCAAATTTTACACAGGAAAGAGCACCCCACTGAGCAGAAATCTATAAAATTATGATGTGACACATCCAGGCCATGATCACTGGTTTAATGGAGCGCTAAGCCGCCTCACCAGCCAAGGCAATGCGACAAACAAAAAGAATCATAGAAATACAACAGCTGCAAAAATCCTAAAAACATTTAACATTTAATTATTGTGTCCATTTACCTGATGGTCTTTCCCTCCCTCAGGTCGTATAGAGAGAAAAATATATCTGTGTCTTCCCCTATGCTGTTGTAGGTGAAGCTCTTCAGGTTGACCAATAGGTGGTGAGGAACAGGAACCCTGCTGGGTTCTCCATGTCTCTGTCGACTATTCTCACCCTGAGAAAAATAAAATCCAAAAAAGAAAGCATTAATCAATCATTTCAGGATCTTTCAGGACATGTGCATAAGTTCAATCTGAAAAACTCACACGAAGAGAAAAGACAATTAGGAGAAATTTATGATACAGTTACTTTGTCTTTGGCGCTCAGATCTCGGCAGGAAACATAGCGTTTAATTTTGATAGATATGCATGTACAAGAGCACAGAATAGGGCTGTTTCCTCCCAGGCCTGGACTGGTGGTGGAGTGGAGATAGATTAAGTTGGTCAGTCTGTAGACTGCTGGTTACTGAGACGGTATGCTGAGCTTTATGGGGAGATCCAGTGAACTGCGTGAGCTGATACTAGAGCTTCACTTAGGGACCTGGAAGATGGAAGTCCAGGAGGATAAAACAGGTTGAGAGAACCTGTCCATGATGAGCAAGAATGGAGTGACAGTGGAGAGGAAAAACTCCCTGTCGGGAAGAAACTTCTGGCAGAACCAGGCTCAACATGGCTGTCTTCTGCCGGACCGGTTGCGATGAGACAGGGAACGCAGTGAGAGTCCAGGAGGAATAACACTCTGATGAAGCTTTAGCTACGAAGGTGGAGGAGGGGCTGCGGATGGGTTGAAACGGTGTCATCTGAATGAAGTCACACAGTGCATCCGCCGCCCGTGCACAGGAGCAGACAGATGCATATTGTAAACCTTTTAGGATGAACTTTGGATGCCGATTGGCTTTCGTAGAGGTGTGGCTCAAAGCTGATTGGCTGTGTCGCAGGTGGATGAAGGAGAGCAATAAGTTTCTTCAGTTGAACTTCCATCTAGGCTCCATTTAGTGCCTCCATCTGGTGCTTATCTGAGTAAAGGTTTAAACTGTTAGGTCAATGAATTACCTATGCATGATAAGGAGATTATTTGAATTCAAAATAAACCCTAAAGTTGGTTAGAAAATATTATTTTAGGTAAAGTAAAAAATTAGAATTGTATTAACATTTCTTTAGGCTGCTCCACTGAGATTATTTAAGAATAAAATAACTATTTCACAACTGTTTAACAAATAGAGCACCATTCAACTATTTGTAACAGTTTCTATGGAGTGACAAATCTTTAGTAAAAACTTTTCGTTTGTCAAGGATGGACCTAAAAACTCTGAGCTGAGTGACTTTTTAATTCACAATCATTACCTTAATATGTAGAGGACTGTTTGGAAACCATTATTTAGCTAAGCATGCATTGATGTTCTTCACATCCACATTATAGCTTAGCAGATGGAGTCTGATATTTACTAATATCACATCTAGATGAAAACAGGAACATTTGAAGCTCATGCTTGACCATGGTATTAAAAGAACAATGAACATTTTTTGCAACTCATCTTCCTTCCTTCCTTCCTTCCTTCCTTCCTTCCTTCCTTCCTTCCTTCCTTCCTTCCTTCCTTCCTTCCTTCC